TGTAAACCGTGATAGATTTTTTTCAGGATTCTTTGATTAACAGAAAGTTCAAAATAACAGCATCCATTTGAAATAGAAATATTTTACACCACTATACATGTCTTTACTGTCACTTTTGATCAATTTAATGCATCAGAATTGTGAATCTTAGAAGAAGGAACTTTGGGAATATCTTAGAAGGGTCAGGAAACACTGCTCAACATAAAATATGATTCACAACATGCTCTGTAAAGAAAAAAAAAATACATTGGAAAACAGTTTATGATTAATGTGCAGGAGTGTGAAAGTCAACAGTCTGGCAACGTTCTTTAACTTTGCAGGAAAGTGACCATCCAAAAAGCAGGACTAATGGCTCCTGAATGTAGTATTTCACAAAAGTTCAAGGAAACAGAGATACTTGCATCATTTCTCTCTTGTGTAAGAAGTCTGTGCTTAAACTGTTGGCTGCATGCAGTAATGCTGTATGCTCTGAGCCAGTCGGACTGGATGGGCTGCAGCTCCATAGACTCTGGAGAATTTCTAACTTCCTCCTGCACAGACTGCTGAACTGAAGACACATAATATATTTACATTTCAAATATGTATTCACATTACCTTAACTCCATTGTATGTATATTTATCTTTATTTTTCAAAAAGATGACTGCTATATACATATATATATATATATATATATATATATATATATATATATATATATATAATCTTCAAAATGCTTCACAAATACGAAATCTTAAAGCAGTAAAAAAAATGTTATACCTTCCTGAAGTTTTAATTCAAGGCGCTTTGCAAGCTCATTTTGTTTCATGTTGCGCAGCGCTTGGACTGCGATCTTCCCAGCGTCATCGGGATACTGCTTTACCATGCAGTCCACCACATCCTCAAGATCAGAAGTCTGAAGCTTTGCTCGAGGAATCGGCTCAATGCCTGCCGTCACACCATTGCACAGCTGCCAGACGAATTGTTTGAGCTCTTTATCCACAAGATCCTCAAGTACATCAGTCATCACTCTTTTGATGTCCATTTTGTGTCACTAGAAGAAAAAAAATCTTGATTAAACAAAACTAATCACGGTGTTTACCGCTGTGGTTAAACTCTTACCAGACCTGAAATAAAACTGAAGTTTTAATTTATACATAGGCTAATGTCTGACTGATTTTGTTGTATGAAGTAGATTCTGATGACACAGTTTGTTAAACTTGTTTTTTTTACGCGATGTGCACATAAATTTAGTAGAAACTTTGTTGTGCTGAAAAATGCACCCCTGTCGCGGGCAGGGCCGTAGCTAGTGGGGTGAAAGGTGGTGACGATTATAGGATCTCTGGTTGAGGCCAGTCTAAAAAGACGCTCAGGACAGTTGACGGGCCACTGCTGCGCATCCTCACAAAAGCTTATCATTTGCATGTGTTTTTAAGCCTTGCCAATTTAAACATTCAAAAGAGTTTAAAGCATTCAAACACAAGACGTGGAAAAACTCAACCGAGTACTCGCGCGCTGTGTTCGGTGCACACACAGAGAGCCGCGTCTCACGGACAGCAACACCAAACCGAGCTCTCCTTCGCGTCCTCCTGCACCTGAACGAACAAATACAAATCGCAGTTTAAACATGCAAACAGAAAAATATGTGAAAGAGCCCAATTCAGCACACAGGGCGCATGCAGAGAGACACATCTCAAAGCGCTTGAACACCAAATTTGCCTTTTCTTGCTCTTGTACCGACAAATACATACAAAATTATGTCGAAATACCCGTCTTGGAAAGTATACTCAAAAAAATGTTGGTTATTAAGTGAAAGTAAACAGTGGAGAAAGAAATTGGATGTGTATCATTATAATGGTCGGGGAAGTCGTGGCCTAATGGTTAGACAGTC